TGGGGGGGCATCACCACATCACCACGGCTGTGCCCCTCCGTGCCCTGGCACACTCCTTCCTTGTGTGAGTTCGGATCACTCCAGCCAAGAGAGGTCTGGGGGGCTTGTTTGGGAGTCTCAAGCTATTTAGGGGGAGGAGCCACCAAGAGCTTTCCCTGAGAACTGCGGAGCCCCATCCTGTCTTTCCTCACTCTCACCTTGAGAATTGCCCTTGGCAACGTAAGGCTGTGAAGCAAAGTTCTTTTGTCTTTTAGGTATAGGCAAAGGTATAAAGCACCCCCCACCCCAACTATCACCCATGGCAGGGGCTTCAATTTCAATTGGCATTTCTATTACCCTCTTTCTCCTAACTCCTGAAGTTATGGCATGCACATTCATTGACTCCTGCTCTTTACATATCTGGTAAATTCATTTAAAGAACGGTGAGGCAGGTATGTTGTGATGATGACTCCAACACACCCTACCTGCCTCTGCAGAGTGACGCAGGAAGGGTTATTCTCATTTCACAATCCAACAGCCGAGACTCAGAAAAGTGGAAGGGCTCCAGGTCGCTAAGCAAGCAGGTGAAAAGCCAGGCCAGCATCCTGACTCTGGAAAAAGGTGTTTGTTTGTTTGTTTTTAATGTTATTTACTTTTGAAAGAGAGAGAGACAGAGACAGAGACAGAGCGTGAGTGGGGGAGGGGCAGAGAGAGAGGGAGACACAGAATCCCAAGCAGGCTCCAGGCTCTAAGCTGTCAGCACAGAGCCCCACGCGGGGTTCGAACTCATGAATCAAATCGCAAGATCATGACCTGAGCCGAAGTCAGATGCTTAACTGACTGAGCCACCCAGGTGCCCCCCCCCCCTTTTTAATGTTTATTTTTGAGAGAGAGAGAGAGAGAGCGAGCAGGGGGGCAGAGAGAGAGGGAGACACAGAATCTGAAGCAGGGTCCAGGCTCTGAGCTGTCAGTGCCCTATGTAGGGCTCTAACTTACTAACCGTGAGATCACTCACGACCGACACCTGTAAGATCATGACCTGAACCACCCAGGCGCCCCTGGAAAATGTGTGGCCTTCATAGGCTTCACTCAGTACCCGCTCTTCTCCCCACTCCTCTCCCTGGGAAGGACTGTTAGAATTTTCAGGTTAGTCACCAGATTCCCAAGGCCTCCTAGGTGCTTGGCTCCTGCTTGGGGTGGTAAGGGACTGGGTAGGGGGGCAAGATGAAAGATGGTTGGGGAGAACACAGATCCCTCTATGCTCCCCAGCAGAAGTTCATCTAGATCCTTGGGCGGATGCCAGAGCAGGGCCATTTGGGGGGCAGATGCGGTTTGGAGACCCCCATGGCTTCTGGCCACTCTTGTTCTGGGTAATTTTCCACAGCAGCCGCTTCTGGGAGGGAAACAGAGAGCTGCATGTACAGGCTGAGCCCTTGGGACTTGGGCCTCCAAGTCTCTCCTGGCCAAGGCACCCCCCTTCTAAAGTGCCCCACTAATTTTACTCCCTCAGAAGGTGTGGCCAGACAAGCTATATCTGGAGCCTGAGCAAGACAGTATTTGGGCTGGCATGACTCACTGAAGTCAGGGGCTAGGAGAGACTGGGGGGTCCAGACCTCTGATGGGTCTTCTTGGCTACTCTCCACTTGCATACTTCCAGGGACAGGCAGCTCACTGCCTTTCCAGTTTCCGATACTCAAATGTTCTATTTTATCTCAATCCGTCTCCATGGGTCCCTCCCTTGCCACCTAGCTCTGTCCCCAGTCCACAGGGCCCAGGGTTTGGCCTCCAGCCATTTTCCTAGCGAAACTGCCTCCTCTGACCCAGACCCAGCCTGTCATGATCCAGGGCAACCTGGCTCAAGTCTAAAGCACAATCCACCTCTTCCTTGTGTCCCCATTCTGGCTGCCGCCAGTGCTAAGCACCGAGTTTGGAGTCAGATAGCCCTGAAGCCCTGTTGTTGTCCCTGGGTAACTGTGTGCTTGGGCAGTTAGAACTCTGGGTCTTCCTGTGTTCCTGGTTACTGAGGCCAGCTCACCTCCAGGGGCTGTACTGGGTCCACTGGCTCCCAAATCCCTGCCTGTACTGTCACCACAGCTGGATCTGGGAGGAAACCTGATTAAATCAGGAAGGGAAATTGTCTTTTCCAGGCTCCCTTTGGGCTATCCTCTTATCAGGAGACCAATCTGATCTAAGGAAACTGGGGGTGGGGGTTGCAGACTGATCTCACAGGCCCAGCCCCCTGCCCCCCCCCCCCCCCCCCCCCATGTAATCACTAACATCCCAACCAGCCTATGGAGAAGCAGCACCAAGCTCCAGTTCCAGCTGATGAAACTAAAGCACAGAGTTGGCAGGAGAGCTCACAGCAGGTCTTTACAGCTCGCTCTATCTTGGACAGATCTGTCTTGTTCTAAAGAGCCAAATCTAGGAAGTGAGACTTGTCCAGACCCCACAGCTCACCAGCCCCAAGTCCAGAGACATTTGGGACAGGCCCTGTCCTGGAGTTTCCACCCAGACCCCTTGCTTGGCGTTGGAGAAACTGAGGCCCAGGGAGGGCCCATTGCCTGCCCGAGCGTCCCTGCAGCAGTGGGCCAGAGGCTGGATAAAATGAATGACTGGAGGGCACACTGATGGAGGGGCCGGTTGGAGGTAGGTTTTCGAGGCTGACCCGGTGGCCTGGTCCCGGCTCTCTCCAGGTAGGGTGGGGCCGGCTACCCTGGAGGGCGGGGCCTCCCGACAGGGCCCCGCCTCCGCCCCGCCCTCCCTGCGGAGCCACAGCGGGGGAACCCAGTTTCCGAGGAACTTTTCGCCGGCGCCCGGCCGCCACCGGGGCCAGGACAGGACGCGAACGCGCGCGGCGGCGGCAGCGGGTCGGGGCCGGCGGACGCGACACTCGCTGCGAAAGTCCGTACGCGGCGGCGGGCCCGGCGGGCCGCCCGGAGGAGGCAACTGCGCCATGGACGAGCCGCCCTTCAGCGAAGCGGCCTTGGAGCAGGCGCTGGCCGAGCCGTGCGAGCTGGACGCGGCGCTGCTGACCGACATCGAAGGTACGTCAAGGGCCGCTTGGGCTCCGCGGGAGCCGGGAGCTCAGGCGGCGACCGGCCTTTGTCTCCCCGGCCGGCGCGGGGCGCCGGCTCTGTACTGCTTGCGCGGGGCTTCCCCGCGTCTCTGGGCCGCGCGCTGTGGGCCTCCTTGTCCAGACCGCTCTGAGCGTCCCTGTGCCCGCCCTGGCGTCTCGGGCCACGCCTCGCCGGGTCTCTTGGAGGCTCAGGGCCGGGCACGTGCGCCTCTGAGCGTCCCGGGCCCCGCGCCGCGCAGCCCGTGAGTCCTCAGCCCAGTGTCGGCCGAGGCGGGAGCTTGAGACCTGGGCGTCGCCGAGGCCCCGCCCCTGCTCCAGCCTTGACGTCAGCTCAGGGTTACTCGCGGTCATTCCCTCCGGCCTGAGAGTTCAGCTCGGCTCAGAGCTCACGCGCATGCGCGCGGCGCTTCCTCCTGCCTCTCCTCCCTCTCCCCTCCACCCCGCCCCCGTCCGGTTCCCCTGGTCCAAGACGGGCATCGCTTCTGCAAACATTCATTCAACATTTACTGAATGCCAGGCCGTTTCCTAGGCGTTGTGCGGAGGGGGGATTCACAGGCCGGCCTGGGATCCTCCTTTTCTTGGGAGCACGTAAATCCACCAGAAAAACCGCAAACGGATATTTAGTTGCAAGCTGGGGTGGAGCAGGGGTGGGGTGAGACCTCATTGAGCAGACTTTTGAGCGGAGACTGAGAGTCAGCCCCGGACCCTCCTGGAAAGGATGTTTTCCCAGCCGAGGGCGTGGCAAGGGCGAAGGCCCCGAGTTTGAGGAGTTAAGAGGAATGCACTGGAGGTGAGGTTGGGACGGTTGATAAAAAGAGGATCCCCTGTGGGCTGGAGGGCGGACTAGGACTGAGGTTTACTCACATCTTTGAAAGCATCATTGTTTGCTTGACAGAGGAGGGGTTTGGGGACAGTGCGGCAGGTACCATTTGGGAGGCTGTGGCCCCACTTTGTAGATAGGGCAAACCACAGTCCCCAGCAGACTGCCCTCCGTGGTCGCTTCGCAGTTTCAGCAACACCGGCTAAATTGCGGTTGGTCGATGGGGAACCTGAGGCCAAGAGCACAGGACTCAAACCTCCCACAACCTAGACAGACATGTCCATGGAGCCCGTGGCACCTGGGGTTACCAAAACAGGCACATCTAAGTCACCCACTCCTGTCTTACTGCAGCCTTGCATGGTAGCTCAGCTGGCTGTCAGCCTGGGGTCTTATCAGCTCCCCTTCCCCACGGGCCAGGCCAGGGGAGGGTCTGGGAGGAGAGACCCTGATTGTGGGGCTTTTCCAAAGCAGGACTTGAATCTGGACACTACTCACTTACTTTGACGTCCTGCCCAAGCTCTCTCAACCTCTGTGCCTCAGTTTCCCACTCTGGATACAAATGCTTCCCTTCCTAGGGGAGTTGGGAGAATGGAATCAGGGCAGGTGTATCCAGAACACAGGTCTGGCGTAGACCTTTCTTATTGACTCATAGAAGCATTAGGTCCTGAGGCCCAAAGGCCAGGCCCTCCCAGCCATTGGGGGCTGGGGGCAATTAGGCATCAGCTCTACTCTGTGAGAGAAGGGGAAAACACTGGGGCCTCTTGCTGGTTGGGGCTTGATGTTTGCCTGCCACAGTAGATTTCTCAGCCTTTATCCAAACTTTCTGTCTGCCCCCTGCCCCCCCGCCCCCGCCCCCTCCAGTTACACAGAGGATCTCTTTGCATTATAGAAAAATTAGAAAGTGCAGGTGAGCAAAAATAAAAAAAAACAACAACCAAAATCTTCCTTAAACCCATCACGCAGAGATAAGCTGTGTTAATTATGTGGGGGATTATTTTCTGTGTATGTCCATATATGTGTGTGTATATATATATATATATATATATATATATATATATATATATATTTGTTTTTGAATGGCTCTACACTTGTGATCTACTTTTTGAAAACATCATTGAGGTACAATTTACCTGTCGTAAGATTTACCCATTTTAAGTGTACAATAAGTTTTTACGTTGACCAAGTTGTGTTGACCATCACCAGTTAGTTGTGGAACATTTTCATCCCCTCTATTTACAACTGCTCCCTGGTCCACACCCAGCCTTCCACACCCAGCCCAGGCAACCGCTAATGTATACTTTTATAGAGAATAGGGTCCATTAGCTCACAGCAGGTTGTAACTTGCTTTGTTCCTGTATCTATAGCCAGGCAGCAGTCGAGTTCCTTGGTTTATCTACTGGGTCATCCAGGTTGTTCTGTTCTTATAAACTGTACTGCAGGGGACACCCCAGGCCAGTCTTTGCTTGGATGGATCCTTCTTTAGTTCTGTAGGCAGACGTTCTGGGAGGGGAATTTATAGTCAGAGACCAGGCCTACTTGTGAGGCTTTTACCCTGTCCTTGGAGAGAGGCAGATTCAGGGTCTAGAGAGATGTGACTTGGGTGTGGGAAAGGTACGGTCTCCAGGTCCCCTGAGATGACAGAAGGTTGAGAGGTAGGCCAGGCAGGCCTCGAGTGCCTGAAAGGGTAGATGGACTGAATCTCGGAGGCAGTGGGGAGCCCTGGGGGGGATTGGAGCAAGGCGTTGCCATGCCTGGGTTACATGTCGGAAGCTTCCTCTGGCCGCTGGAGTGGGGGAATCACAACACTAACTGAACACTTACTGTATCCCGGCACCTAGCTGACCATTGGGTCCCCCTGACAACCCTGAGTAGGGTAGACTTCAGATCTTCATCTTACAGATGAGTGAGTGCCTTGAAGCACACAGGTTAAGTGACTTGCCTGAGGTCACATAGCCAGAACCTGGCAGAACCAGGATTCAAACTCAGGCTGTGGACTCCAGAGGCCACGCTCTTAGCTGCTGTACTCCTAAGAGTGGGGGTGGGGGTGGGAAGCAATAGAACAGGGAGCCCTGGAGGCTGCTCCATGTGGGGCTATGCTGGGGGCCTGGGAGTAGGTCAAAGAAGGGTCAGAGGCCACACTGTCACCTCCCTCTCCCAGCCCAGAGCAGCCTTGAGTCATGAGACGAGGACTGTCACCAGGCAAGGGGCCAAAGGCCTTGAGCTCCACCCAGCCCTGATGCCCGCCTTTGCCAAACCCTCTGTCCTATGACGGGTTTGGGGGCGGAGCTGCCAGCATGAGCCCTTAGTTCTGTGGGTGAAGGCATTGCCTGGGCCCGGTACACCCCAACCTCCGGCGAGCCCCGTCTCCTCCCAGGGCCTCCTGTTCTGGCTCTGTGCTTTGGGGGGTCCTTGTGGCAGTGGGTGGAGGCAACAGGAGAGCAGTCCTGTGCCATGTTTGGGATTAGTGTTAAGCCCCCGGCAGGTTTCACTTCTCTGATTAATTTCTCAGATCTTGTACATGCTTTTTAAATGCCGGAGAGGCAAGTGGCCGTGAGATTCCGGCAGGGGCGGGGCTGAGTAGTCACCCTGGGGGCGCTGGTTTATTTGAAGCCTTTGGTGGCACAGTTCATTCTCCCCTCTGCCCGGGTATCCCCACCTTCACTCTTTTTCATACCCCGGCAGTCCTCCCAGACAGGGTGGCCTTCCTGGATCTCACCCCTCCCCGCCCCAGCTCAGCACTGGCAGTGTTTTGTGGCGCTCTCCCGGCCCTGGGGTCCGTCAAGGTACCTGGATAAACCACAGGAGGGCCTGCCTTCTAGGTCTCAGCCCAGGCCTGTCTGGCTGTTTTCTGGCTTCAGGGCAGTCCTGGTGGAGAGAACACACATTGGGGGCCATTCTGCCACCCCCCTCCCCACCTCTCCCCGTGTTATCTCACGCCCAGTTCTTCCCCCAGTCCCACCAAGAGGAAATACAGTGCAAGACTGCTTACTGTTCAGCTCTCAGCTCCGGGCATACAACTCCTCAGTCCCCAAACAGCGATGGCTCCCCAGTGCCCCCAAGATAAGGTTCCTTTGTCCCAGCATGGCGTTCCTTACCTGCAGGGCTTACCAGACCTGTCTCTTCGGGGGGATGGACAGAGGCATGCTGGGAGTAGGTTGAGGTGTCTGGGGGTTACCTCCTGTCCAATGTTCACTTCGCTGTGGACGCAAACATCCTGAGTGACCTGGTCAACCCCAGGCAGGGGTCACCGCCAGGCGGAGGACTGGGATCTGGACTTTGTCTGAACAACAGGTGCAGCTCAGTTGGGAATGGCAGCACTGACTGGCCAGAGGAAGTATCTCTGGCCTTGTCTCTTGCCAGCCATCGGCCCTGTGGATGTGCCCTTTGATCCCCAGACCCGACCAGGACGGCATTCGTGTGACACCTATGTCCCATGTGGCTACACAGAGGGGGTTGTGTGAGGGGAGGCAGGAGAGCCTTAGAGACAGATTTGGGGCTCCCACAGGGGGGTATCTTCAAAAAAAATTTTTTAATGTTTATTTTTTTGAGAGAGGGAGAGAGAGAGAGAGAGAGAGAGAGGGACGCACGAGCAGGGGAGGCACAGAGAAAGAGGTAGAAAGAGAATCCCAAGCAGGCTCCATCCTGTAAGCGCAGAGCCCGACACAGGGCTTGAACTCATGAACCATGAGATCATGCATGACCTGAACTGAAACCAAGTCAGAAGCTTAACCGACTGAGCCACCCAGGCACCCCTGAAGGGGCAGGGTGGTCTTTGAGGCTGGCTCCAGGTGTGTGGTTCCCATGCTGAGTTTGGGAGGTGGCACAGGGACAGTGTGTGGCCTGGAAAGGCCCACCCCCACCTGGAACCCTGCTCAAGCTCACCCCCTCCCCCCAAGTGACGCTCCAGCTCTCTCCCAGCAAGCCTGTCCCTCCCAGTCACATGCCAGGCCTACCCCTCCTAGGGCTCTGGGGTTCCCACCAGATCGCAGGGGTCTTCAAATTCAACCCCTGCTGTGTGACCATGAACAAGTGGCTTAACCTATCTGGCCTTCAGATTTTCCTCAGTGTACTAAGAATAATGATAGAAGCATCTTCTTGTGGGTGCCTGGGTGGCTCAGACTATTGATTTCAGCTCAGGTCATGATTCCAGGGGTCGTAGGATCGAGCCCCATGTCCGGCTCCTCACTGTGCGTGGAGCCTGCTTGAGATTCTTTCTCTCTTCCTTTGCCCCTGTACCCTTCTCACGTGATCTCTCTGTCTAAACAAACAAACAAACAAATGAAAACCTTTTCTCGGAGTTGTGGGCAATCAGCCCATTAGAGCTCAGCCCATTTAGAGCTCAGCCTCTAAATGAGCTCATTTAGATCAAGGGCTTACGTAGCACAGGACACATAGTAGGCCCTCAACCAATTTTCATCCTTTAGAGCACTTAACCAGGACCCGGCACCTAATATGTTTAGCTTATTATCCAAGGATCCTATGTTGGAAGTTTCTATGGACTGTGGTTCCAAGTTCTGAGCACCCACCATTTTTGATTCCGGCTCTCTGCTTGGGAGACAAGGTGGGGCTGGGTAAAGTGGGGAGCCTCTCACCTCTCCCCCTGCCTGATCCCCAGGGGGCAACACCCAGTCCTCAGCTACCATTAAAGATAAAGAGACTAGGGGCGCCTGGGTGGCTCAGTCAGTTAAATGTCTGACTCTTGATTCTGGCTCGGGTCGTGATCTCACGGCTTGTGAAAATGAGCCCTATGTCAGGCTCTGTGCTGACAGCCCTGAGCCTGCTTGGGATTCTCTCTCTCTCTCTCTCTCTCTCTCTCTCTCTCTCTCTGTCTCAAAACTAAATACACATTAAACAAAACAGCAGCACGTGGCCTTCGAACCAATACATCCTCTTCAGGTTGAAAACAGGCTGCAGGGACACAACCCCTATTTAGACAGGGGACAGCTGCTCAGCGGTAGGGGACTGCCCCTAAACTGCCACTGTCTCGGGCCCTGGGTTGGTTTTCAGCTGCCAAAATGATGAGTAGGTGCCCCAAGCCTTCACCTATGACAAGATGTCTGAATTGGTGCTTCCTCGCACCTGGTATAGTGGCCATCTTCCGGGTCACGTTCAGGGTTGTTTGGTGTGTGCAGTTGGGAACTAGCGTGTGGAGTGACACAGAGGAGGGAAGAACCTGAGAAGGTGACATCAGATCGCGTTTTGAAAGAGGAGCAGTAGTTTGCTAGGTAGACAAAGGCTACCGGGAAGGGCATTCCTGGTAGAGGGAACAGCCTGGGCGAATGCATGGTAGCCCCGAATAGCATGGCGTGTTCGGAAAGCAGACGGGGAAAGTGAGGCAGGGAGAGAGCCCTGTGGCCGGAGACCGGCAGCGGGACGGTGGCTGGCTGGCTGTACAAACCTCTGATTCTCGTCCCCTCTGTGCTCAGCCCTGTGCTGAGTGATGCCAGGGTTTGGGCCCTCCCAGGCAAGGCCCGGCCACTAATGGTGGTCAGGAAGGCCTCCGGGAAGGGGCAGTGCCAGAGCTGAGCCTTACTGAGCTTTGTGCTGCCTCCTCTTCCGTTCTTGCACACCACACACACCTCCTGACCGGATACAAGTGCTGCCAGCAGGTTGGGGCAGAGCCAGGCTGGAGCGAGGGCCCTCTCCTGTCTCTGGCAGGCTGGAGCTGACCAGTGTGGACTCTGGGGTTGGTGGACCTGTGTCTGAGTCCCAGATTCTCTCCTTGGCAGAGGCAGCCACTTGGACACACGGCCTCTCTCTGAGCCTTAGTTTCCTGGTCCGTCTCGAGGGCCCATGCCCAGGTATGCTGGGGCTGCAGCCATGGGCCCATCCTCTTCCAGGAAGAGCCAGCACACATTTGCACCCCCAGGCAGCCCCGAGTGCACAAAGGACAGTCTGTCCCCGTTGCATCCATGACCAGCCGAGGTCGTGCAAACCTGCTGACCTGAATCCTCAGGAGGATCAAGGAGGCACTGGTAGGAGCAGCAGGAATGAATGGCAGGCAGAGCGTAGCCCTGGCTTCCCAGAACGTTCGGCGAGTGTCCCATCCCTGCCTCGTGCCCTTCAAGCAGGCAGAGGTGGAATGCTGCGGGCGTCCTATAAGCCCTGTCCCATGTCCTCTCCTGTGACGGTGCGGCTTTATATCCTTCACTGTTCCTCAGAGTTGTGCAACTTTGTGATCTGCATTGCACGGGACAGTTTGCAAATCCTTTTCCTGCCCATTTCCTGGAGAATTGGTGGCCTTGGCTCAGGCAACAGACAGCCTGGAATCTCAGCTTCCTGGCTGCCTCCCTGAACTCTGTCCCCTCTTTGCTCCCTTTGCTCTGGCGACACTGGCCTCCTTGCTGTCTCAGCATCATCACACCAAGCTTGTGTCTACCTCAGGGCCTTTGTACTTGCTGTTCCTTCTGCTCCGGACATTCTTCCTCCCTCCTGGCCTCTTTCATTCAGGCCTCTACTCAGATGTTACCTCCTCAGAGAGGCTTGCTGATCACATGTGTAGCGGCCCCTCGCACTGTCTTCATGTGGCCTCTGTTTCTTCATGGTGCCCGTCACCATCTGTACCCACAATTCCTCCATGTATTTGCAGACTGTCGGTCACTGGAACATAAGTTCCACGAGGGAAGGCCTTTATGCTTTGTCCCTGTACCCTCAGTCCTGGCAAAGGCCTGACACACAGTAGACACTTAAGAAAAGGCAGTAGATATCGTCAGAGAGACAACTCTGGGCTTCACGGACCAGGCCATGTGAGGGAGGTGGTGAGCTCCCTATCTTAAGAGGCTTGCACACAGAGCTTGTTTGGGGTTCAAGGCCTCATGAAGGTTGGATGGGCTGGAGGCTTCTGTGATGATCAGATCTGGGCTCCTGCCAGTTGGTGGTATTGGGTCCTCCCAAGATTTCCATCATGGCCTCACAGAATAAACAGGCCAGAGAATAAAAGGCTGCCCCACATCTGCCTTCCAAAGGAGGTTTCAAGGTAGAACCAGGGAGGGAGAGGGGCTCAGGTTTCCTGTTGGGCCCTGCTACAATCAGGGCAGGACTGGAGAAAGGAGAGGAAAAGGGAGGAATCCGGGCTTGGGGAGGAGGTGAGGAAGGTGAAAGATTGGAGGGGGTGCGAGATGGGCCCACTGAGGCTCAGAGTCTATGCCTCCTTTTCTTCCTTGTGTTCAAGGGCATGGACCTTCGGGCCTTCTGAGTCTCTCTTTATGCCGGAAGCCTAGTGTTCAGCTCACTGGAGAAGGGTCCACCACTTGGGAGCCATGGCCAGCTTTTTGGGGCCCGCTGTCTTGGGCACTTCTCTTGCCTCGCCCTAGTCCCAGCCCAATTTACTCTGCGTAAAACGATCTTCATTAAATGGTCACGGAGCTCTGACTTGAATGTTGCAAGTAATGGGCAACTCACTACCTGCCTTAACAGTTCTAGACCATTTTATTTGCTGCAGAGGGACTAACGTTTATTGAGATCTTGCTGAATGCTGGGTGTTTCATACACTTGCTCTCTTATTATTTTTTTTTCATTTTTTTTTTAGTGAACCTACAATGTTATATTAATTTCAGGTGTACCATATAGTGATTCAGCAATCCTATACATTACTCAGTGCTCATCCTGATAAGTGTGCTCTTAATCCCTGCCACGTCCTTCATCCATCCCCACCCCCACCCTCCTCCCCTCTGGTAACCACCAGTTAGTTCTCTGTAGTTAAGAGTCTCTTTTTTGCTTTGTCTTTTTTCTCTTTGGTTTTTTAAATTCCACCTATGAGTGAAAGCGTATGGTATTTGTTTTTCTCAGACTGACTTCTTTCATTTAGCATCACACTCTCCAGCTCCATCCATGTCGTTGCAAATGGCAGTAGTTCATTCTTTTTGATGGCCGAGTAATATTCCATTGTATATGTTCATTTTTCTTTCAGCTGTTGATGGGCACTTGGGCTGCTTCCATAATTTGGCTTTTGTAAATACTGCTGCAGTAAATATGCTTGCTCTTCTAGAACCCCACCCCTGTCACCTCTGGAGACCAGGGGTGGAGGCTCAGAGAAGGGGAGTGACCTGCCTGGGATTACATGGCAGGTGAGGCACAGAGGGAAGGCCCGCCCCATTGGCCGTACGGGGAAGAGGAGGGCTGTAGGGCTTGCTCTCAAATTTACCCCCCCTCTTAGCTCTGGCACCCAGCTTCTGCAGGAATTGGCGGGCACATTCAGCTCCAGGGGAGAGTGAGATGGGGGGCTGCTCAGGCCGTGAGTTCGGGGAGAGGCTGGCCCCTCATATGCCACCAGATGCCTTGTGACACGCAGGCCCTCTTTCCCGCTGCATCTTAGTTTAGACCGTGTCCTCTGCCCCATGGCCAGCGCCCCCTCTCAAGAGACTTTCCTGACTCCTGCTACCCTCAGGGGGGCATTGGGTGACCATTCTCCTTCCTACCTCCTCAGGATGGAATGGGGGCAGCGCACAAAGATGTGGGAAATGGAAAACAAAAAGGCATGAAACTGTGGAGAAGGGAAGAGAAGGATGAGACAGGAAGTGGGTGTCCCAGGCCTGACACCCTCAGGGCTGGCCCTGGCCCTGCCCTGAAAAGTTTCAGGCCAGTATTTACTTGTCGGTCCTGCCACATTCTGGGCTCAAAAACTGGGGAACGTGGTAAGGAAGAACAGAGCCGTGAGGGTCTGCTTTTGAAACTTGTGCGTGGAATTCAGGCCTTGGTGTCTAACCTGTCTTCAGTCTTTCCAGCAGCAATGCTTTGGATGAGGTCACAGTCTTTCCAGCAGCAATGCTTTGTTTTGTTTTTTTTTTGGGGGGGGGTGAGAGAGGGTGTGAACACCCATAAGCTGAGGAGAGAGGGAGGTGGAGGTGCTAGAGAATTTCCTTATCCTTGGCACCCCCTCCAAAGCCGTGGAAAGATCTAGAAAGATCAGGAAGTAGATGTGTGTAAGGGAGATGGGGCTGAGTTTCCTTGTTTATAGGCTGGTGGAGAGGGAGAGAGATTGGGGGCAGGAGGGACTCCAGGCCTGAACACGCTGCTCACTCTGCCATGCCTGCCTGCCTGCCTGCCCAGGATTCAGCCACCCTCCAAGGCCGCAGGAGACAGAGACAGAGGAGGGGCAAGCCCCCGTGCTACAGTTGAAGGCTGGGGCAGGACTTGCTGGTGGTCTGTTTGGCCACAAAAGCCCAAACTGGCAACCTGGGCAGCTTGCCAGGCTCTGTTCATCTGTATGTGTGTCGAACTTTGACCTTACTCAGAAGGGGAGGCAGTCCTAGGTACCTCCTCAAAAGACCCCCAGAGCCCGTCACCCATGCCTTCTTTACCTTCTGTCCCAGGGATTAGGCTGCCTCTTGGGCTCCCAGGACCCTGCAGTGAATAAGTGAGTCAGGCTATACCTGGCGATTGCTGGGGGGAGGGGGGTGGGAGACCTTGGGGGCCAGGGCAGACTTTGCTGACCTCCTTCCCTCCACCCCAAACCCACAGATTTCTCTGCAAATGGACATCTGTGCAGACAGAGGACTCAGGTTCCAGTATTACCTGAATGAGTAGTTTGGGATAAGTAAGGGTCTTCCTTCCTCACTCTGGGCCTCAGTTTCCCGGCTCTGGCCAGTTATTAGTCATCCATGTGCTGGGGGATGGCCCAGGAAGGGAAGGTCCCCGCACCTAAGACCAGGCGGCCCTTGGCCTTACGTCAGCGCTTCTTGGTACTGAGCGCAGCACCCATTTTCTCCTTCACTTTTCTCATTAGAGGCCCAAGGAAATGTGATCATCCCATTGTCTAGAGAAGCAAACTGAGGCCTAGGGGTGGGGAGCCGCCCAGAGTGTCAGCGATTTCCAAAGAGTGTTGGGGCATCCCTTCCGGGGGCCTCCCGGTCCCGAGCCCACTCCGCGGCGCTTCGCGGATGTGGTCGGAGCTGGGGGCTTAAAGGGGCCGGTGACCGCCAGTAACCCCGGCGGGTGTCGGCGCCGAACGGGTTAAGGGCCCGCGCCCGCGAGTAACCCCGGCCCCATTCAGTGCCGCGGGGTGAAACCCGAGCCCTAGCCGCCGTCGGGGGTGGGGCGGGGGCAGGGGCGGGGCCCTAATGAGGCAGTGGCGCGGTCGCTGATTGGCCGCGCGCGCTCACCCCATGCCCGGCCCGCGGCCCCGGGGGGGGCGGAGCCGGCGGGGGCGGGGCGAGGCGGGGGGCGGGGCGCTCGGCGGGCTTTAAAGCGCGGCGGAGCCCTGACAGGTGGTCTGCGGTGCGCGGAGACCGGCAGGCCAGCCGCCGGGGCGCCCCGAAGGGGCGGCGGGCGCGGGCCGCGGAGCCATGGATTGCACGTTCGAAGGTATTTTTTGGAGGACCCCCCCACCCCTTTATCACAGAGCCTCCACCTCCGCTGCGGGGTCACCACCCCTGGTTCCCTCAGAGGGGGGCGTGTGTATGCAGTGGCTGTGGAGCTCCCAATAGGAAGAGCCAGTTCCTGAGGGGGCGGAGTGCCAGTTCCCGGCTCTCACTGGAGTTGGTGGGCCACCCCCAGCCCCCATTATTTACCCCCACCCAGGCGTTTGGAGTGAGAGGGTGGCCTTCCCAAGTCCTCCAGGGAGGAGTCCTGCTGTCCCGTCTCCCAGCGCCCCCCACCCCGCTCCCGTGAGTCAAATCTGGGATCCCAGACCTGGATTCAGTTTTTCTTTCAGGGCCTCGGTTTCACCATCTGTCAGAGGGGCTCATGAGGGCTGGGGTGAGGGATGGAAAGCCCCGCAAGTGAAAGTGCGGTATGCGTTTCCCACCTGCATCAACCCCCCCCCCCCGCCGCCCCCCGCGGACCCATGGGGTGTTTCCATTGGAGGACCCAGGGAGACTGAGC